AGAAGTCTCCAATTGATGTGATAAATAGTTGCAATTTTTCAAGTACAAATAGTGCATAGCAAAGAATCATATTGTTTCGAATATGATGTGACTTTTCAAAAAGGTACATCGTGAAAAGTCATGGTATTTTGATAGGTGCAATCCAGACCATTGAATTTGAAAATGTGTGATCTAACGTTCCACATTTATATATATCAAAACATGCAAGTCTGATTTCATCGTATTTGCCTGCACGTGCTTTCGGTTAAAAGAAATATAATTATGTACCCATTTATCCAACATTTGTAAAGAATTTTGCCACTTTATTGAGGAACATTTCCAAGTTTTTACTTTCTGGACCAAAAATTTTCCAGTGAAGCCTCGAAGTTTCTTTGATTTGAGAATCAAAAGCAGGTTTCTCAATAAAGCAATTAACTAATACCCACAAATGGTATTCTTCACAAAATGGGCTTTAAGCATTTGCTAGTCTCTTGTTGACGTTACCAATTTTCTCTGTAAATAATTGAAGCCGTTCCAATGAGGTGGGATAATTGAAGCCACATGGTTAAGCCAAGGATGAGAAATATTGAGGCAAGGATTTCCACTGTTGCTCTACTCCATAAAGTCCTTTCTTAAGTTCCTGATGGATGTGTCAATCATGCACTAAAAAACAAGCTGCTCGGGAGCTGGCTTGAGGACGAGTTCCTGAGGGCGAACCAAGCCACACTTCTACTATGCAAACCGGTTCTTCAGCTCGACACATTTAACACCCCTAAGTCAAGATAAGTGAATCTAATATAAATAAATAAATAATAAATGAATCTAAGTACAAATGCATTCATCTTGAAACCATATCTTACATAATAGTTAGCTTTATATAAAAAAAAATCCAATGAGGCTTCCATGTGTACACTTACATTAATGGATTTGGTTTATAGTAAAGTAAGTCTAAAGATGAAGACTTTTATGAAAACCTCCAATGTGGATGATGATTTGGTTGAAGAAAACTATAAGGAAAAGAGAGTTGTCCTATCGATTCCCTCCTTTTTCTGAGTCCGTGACACGGATGGTGAAGTGTGAGAATCAACATTCCCCCACTAAGACAAAGTCCATGTGCCAAGAACCAAGAGCAGTAATACATGTAAAAGACAATTGTGCAGATATATATATATATATGTAGAAGGGAGAAAATTTTGCGAACATGAATCCCATTTTTAACATTTTTTCGTGAGAAAAGAATTTGATCTTGTTCTTCCGACATAAGGAATATATATGTCCTATGTTTTAAACCTTGCAATCCTTTTTTTTATTTTTTAAGTACAAAGAATCCGCTCCTGCTTTAGCATAGTGATGGCTTGATTGGTAAAGCTTTTGAAAGTTCGAAAGTTGCTTTTAAAACTAAGAAGCAGCTTTTGAATATGTTTTGATAATTTTCTAAAAGTATTTTATCTAGTTAAAAGTACTTATACACGAACTCACATAGGGTAACTTCCTCATAAAGTTACTTTACAAGAGCCCTCCAAAACGAATCTTAAAAACACTCATAAGCATTTGGTATATAATCAATAAAATATAGAATGCAAAATGTTCTGTAGTCAATTACTGAATGGATGTGCAATTACAGGAACCCTTTCGGCACATAATTGACATACCACCACCACTAGTAGGTAGCTATCCATCCAGACAATCATGATTATGACTTAAAATTAACTAATAATGCACCAT